TTTTCACCTAATTTTGAGTATTTAAAAGGCTTTAAATAATCCGAAAACTAACTCGTTTAAACACGCATGTACTACCGCATTCGCGTATAATAACTTATCACGTTTTATTGTACACACACAACATAACGATCACCGCGCGAGATCTTTACTATTAATTTATTTAATCCAATAATCTACGAGAACATTGGCAACGACATTGTATTCGGCATCTTTCGGGTGAGCTTTCTCCTTCCATTTTCTCCGTCACCTCTCACAAGAAGGAAAACATGCGTTCACAGGTTATTTGTTATAATAAGATACCAGAAACCATTTTATTTGCATTTGAAATACATGGTCTGCTCAAAAAGGATATTGATTGAGCTTTGAAGTTTTGAATAGTGACATAAAGGAATTATTTTGATTACCTAGCACCTATTTATTATAACATATAATTACAATTAGTTATTGAAACTAGAAATCTAAATAGGTTTTTTGCAATTTATAGCTATTTATTTAACCCAAAACGTGTATTTTTAATCGTCTTTCCTATACAAATATGTACAGAATGTCCTGTAGCATATGATCAAACATCAATGCAAAAAAAATCGCTGAATATTTATATCTATAAACGATTGATCCTAGATAGATAAACTTAATTAAATAGTCAAATGTTTTATTAACTGTGAATTCTTTAATTGTTTTTTTTAATCAAATTCTAAAATATATCTTTTGAGAGCTCGCAAATACCTACTGTCTTTTCCCAATACATAAAAGTACCTAATAATCTTAAAAATTATTACAATATAAAAATTTCATTCAAATAATTGTACAGCTAAAAGTTTATTACTATTTAATTCAGCCAATTGTAAATAAACAATCGTTAAAATTTTCAAATTTTCCAATAATATTTAATGCAATTCGTTAATTTCCTTGTACATTTAGATCGACATTTATAATTTCTAAAATTGTGGGAATTGTGGGAAACCGGTATGAAACAACAAATTATCGGTCTGTCAAAGGCAATCTATTAAATTTCGGCCCTTTCGGTAACACCATCATAGTATCCTAATTAATGAAATGTGGCCAAACTACATGCCAATCGTATTTTAGGCCTTTTGGGATCTCTACATGTGTACATGTCATATCACGCGTTTAATTTTGTTAAAAGTGTTTATTGTTATTGACAATCCATTTATGCCTAAAAAACAGAAGCGTGCACGATTAATAACGGTTTAGTTAGAATAATCGGCGAAGGTTAATAAATAATTATTGTTTAATCGGTGTGTAGGGATATGATGTAGAAAACCATTACAGAACCGCAAATTACACGCTCTTTTTGTGCGAATTAAATGGAAAAGGAAAATGATTAATAGATCTTCTATTTCACGTGTTACCGCCACATAATCGTAATTATAATTTGACCCATCCATTTGTTTTCAATTCATCTTCACTTAGATAATTGATTATTTGTGCATTTTACTGAAAAGAATAATGTTTTTCAGTCCTGAAGGTCCTGGACCACGACTACACTTACTTCGTTCGTATCATCATGAACCTTCCGATCTTAATCTAATGGAACCCGAAGGTTACGGTAGGAAAAGAAAACACGAACGAAGTGAATGTTGTTGCGGTCAAATATAAAGCAAATCTAGGATAATAGGTCGTATATTAAAGGAGATATTTGTCGGTAGACCGCGTCCTGTAAATTCATACTGATGTACATCAATTTTGTACAATTATTATTGTCTACGCCCGATATAAAAGTAAAAGTAATCCATTGTCATAAATAATATATGGCGTCAAATAGGTATTGAATAATAGAATAAAATGTGAAACAGGATCGCAGGGAAATTCAACCCTTCCCTTCCGTTCACGAAAACACGTCGCCTAATGTATTGCTTCTGCACAGGGAATCCAAAGAAGTCCATATGTCCCGAAGAAAAGAAACGACACCCAGGGGATTGCCGTTTATTCTACCGATGCGTCTCTGTAAAATATGCGCAGACTTCCGTCTGGCTACCTACACGCTGCAGTGCAGGAAAAGTAAGAATGAACTAATGTGATAATTCACCAATCAACTTCCGTTTTGCTTAAACTGCTAGAACTTCCGCAATACCAAATACCGAAAATTTCTCGACACCCAAAAGTAACATGTCTAAATTCTATTTTCGATTAGGTACATTTACATAAAATGCAATAAGCCGTTTTGAAACATCGTTCTTTATCAATTTTTGTTCGAATTAAATAGTACAAATTTAAACAAAGTCAACTGGCATCAGCTTGCTCCATTTTCCGTAGTTAATAATTGAACTGTATCGACTAAGAATAAAAGAATAAAACAGCATGTTAAGTTTTCAGTATCTGAAAATGCTCTCGTCGGTCAACGTTAATGATTTAGCGTGCATTTAAACGATTTCCTTAGCAAGACTTTTATTTAGAATGTCAGGCCATTCATAAACACTTTAATAATTGAAAGAGTTTACTATCAAAGAAAATCGATATTACCTTCTGCATACACTTCTATTTTGCAGTACTACATCAGCAAACAGACAACTCCAATAAAATTGCACCTTTAAAAAAAAGAACTAAGCGGTCAAAAATGAAAACAAAATAATAATGAATTGTCTAATATTTCTCTGTTTAAAATAAAAAATAAAAAGGTTTTTGCTGTAGGTATTTCATCCGATTTTAAAAAGATGTCTTCCTGATCTACTCCTGAGTAACTGTGACCGTACGTTTCGAAATGAAATCCTTGAAAGGATTCCCGAAGAAAAGGATCTAACTAGCAAACCACTCACATTAAGCTATAAAAAGCCGAACTTCTACCTGCCAGAGCTTTCTGAAAACGACATTGACAAAGGGCCGATATTCAGTAATACTGTTAACACGTCTCCAGATCGCATTAAAATCCAAATGGATCAGATTTATCAACTGATTAACAGTTATAAAAAAGTCCGCCCGTATAATACACTTTTTCCATCGAAAATGGATAAAATTCCTATAGTTGGCCTTCCGCTTTTTTCGGAAAAGGACGTGGAAATCGCAGCGAAATGGAAACCGGTAGAAACCGAGACATCTTATCCGCTGAAGCAACAAATTGATACACAATCAACTTCTACTCTAACTAATCCTAATGAACACCACCAAACTAACTTAAACCTGTTAGCAAACAAGTTGAATGAATTCTCATTTAATGCTTCCCTAGATGCTAACGAGGGATCTAAAGATTACCCTAGCGTCGACTATTTAATCTCGAAATTGTTTGAGAAATATCAACCGAATAAAGATTATACGGACGGGCAGAGTCCTTTAGGTAAAAATTCACTCATGACCATTGCATCATCATCAAAAAAGCCTTCGATTACAAAATATCCTCAAGCAGTAACACGGAAAAGCAAATTTTGCGAAAAAAATGTCGTTTTAGAAAATAATGACGATTGTCTTCACTTTTATTTTTGCAATTCAAAAAGTGTACCGTTTAACTTTGATTGTCTAAATGTTAACGCTTACAATGAAAAAACCAAACTTTGTAATTTTAAAGCTTATCGTAATTGTACTAAAACACAATCAGACGATATTACTTATGGCTTACCTTTTTCGNTTTTATTTTAACTTCTGAAGAAGCTCCAGCATGGTCAAAGGTTTATTAAGTAATAAAATGGTAAAATTTATGTATTGCTCTTTTCATTTGGCTCAAAACAAAATAAACTGGCTTCCAACAGAAAATTTTAGTAGAAGAAGTTGTTCATCTGGAGGTGGAGGATTTATTAAGTCGTCTTTGTCCTGAGGCTTCCGAGGAATCCAATCCATTTCCGTAGCTATTACTTACCTTTTTCGTGTGAAATCACTAAAAGGCTTCCCGATCCTACTTCCAGGCATCACTATTTTATTTGCGTCCTCCAAGAAAAATCCTGGAAGAGCACACGTCTTCGCTGTAGAAATAGCAGAACATTTCAAAATACCACAAAAACGTGCGTGCTGAAATAAAAAAAAACTTAAAAATAAATTAGTAACTATATTCCTGTTTTAAATAAAGCCACTACTTAACTCTATCCAACTTAAATTATAATTTAACTAAAAATACAAGAAAGAAAAGAGAAATATTATTTAAATTTTCAAACTTTTAAAAAACTTACATGTGCGCCATCTTTTATATTAAATTGCACTCATTTCGATTGGCTCGTGGCGACATCTTACAGTCGGACATGCAACATAAACAAATTATAAATCGAATCAGCAGTGCCATCTTACCAAACACGCACCATTTGAAATTCAAAATTTGAATTATACATTAATTACATTTTAATGAATGAATAATTATAGCTGGTAAATGAACCTACTTTAATTAAATGTAAAATGGAACTTTTAATAAACTGGGCTCATGATTGGTTTTGTCGTACAGAATAACTGAAAATTTTATTATTTTTAAAAAGAATTTGTTGTAACACTTACTGTCATATCTGTTTCATGGTATTATTAATTATTACCCAGAAAATCATTAATTATTTTTAGTGACTCAACTGACTAGCAGGCAAAACACTTATAAGCCTATTAAGACTTTTTAAACTCCATTCCCTTTAATATTGTAGCCCCTAAACTCAAACTAATTATACGATAGCGTTACTGACTTCACGATATGGTTAGTAATTTATTATAATAATAATGCTATTAGCAACGTATTGTAAGAATGTTTATTTCGTAAAAACAATTAATAACTTGTAAGAGTATTTATTTTTAAAATAAATATATATTTTGCTATGTACGCATACATTTATTTAAAAAAATACAGAAAGCTCTACCATAACAAATAAGTACATACATACGTAAACATTAATTTATTTATGGGATCATAAACAAAAGTAATTATCAAATTAAAAAAAATATATATATCCAAATCTTCAAAGTGCTAACTTTCAGTATATTCACATTATAATTTTCTTTCACTGTTTGTGTGCCGAGATAAGACTATACAAATGTTGCTTTCTGGTCAGATTTTTCTCGATACAAAATAAAAAAGAAAAAATCCGATAAATATGTATTTCATTAAAATTACAGTAAGACGACAAAACACGAGCGTATAACTTTGCACTATAAAAAAATAAAAACATACATAACTCTCTTTAATTGCAAAAAAATAAGTAAAATGCGAAACTCAAATATACAACACATTCAAAATATGGACAGATTAAAATATTTAATATGTACAAATTAAAAATCATCCTTACAGGCCGATAAATTGACATCCAAAATAGATTACGTAGTGTGTGTTCTTACCCTTACCTTCACTATTTAAAATTTATACAACATAATATTTAACATTATATATACGTAGAATCTGGCAAGCTCGTTTCAAACTGGCAAAACCATTCGAATATCAAGAAAAACGAAATTTGAAAGGCACTTTTTACTTTAAAAAAAAACCTTTAAATTTTGTTTATTAAAAAAGTAGACATACTTTTGGCAAACATAAAAACTACTTGTTATGGGGCAAAAAACAGTCGTAAAAACAACGGAACCATCGCGAGTATCAGTAAACGCTAACGCTTAACAACATAACTATAAATTCTTCTTGATTACGTCAAGTTTCATTCACTTCCTTCCAGTTCATCGGAAAACTATATTCGAAAAAACAAACACAAAATAATCTAATAAATCACTTAGTCTTCTTTCAGACAATTCGAATCGACGTTCTTGTGAGAATAGCAAACTGACTTGGCGTCACTAGCTGCAGGAGGTGGGGCATCTCCTATACTAACATAGCCTAATTTGTTCTTTGCTGGATCATACACTGGCTGATGCCAGATCTTTGACTCCGCTGGCGATTTCGAAGCTGGTTTCGAACAGTCAGCCACTTGTACATACATCAGTTTGTCCTCAGAACTCGTCGAGCTGCTCGAATCCAGTCTTATAAGTTCTGGTACAGCACTTGGCTTGCTGCCGGCCATCACATAGGCCGTATTTTTATGAGAAGGCGTAGGGCCAGGCAGAGGAACGTATCCATGTATTGACGTTTTACTTATGTCGCCAGTAAGAACATAAGGTGTCGTTGTACTAGCTGCAGACTGTGTAACAGGCACTTTTGTCACATCTGAATGGGATACTATTGCAGGTACATAAGCAGGGCTGGAATCTATGTTTGTAGTGTTAGGATCTACTCCCAATTTACAGTAACTGCTGCTTAAAGTATTTGTTTTGTTCGCCCATGGTGTTATCGAAGTATTTTCTGGCATAGTCACATAGAGTTTACGATGTCTTATGGTGTTACTTTTGCCAACTTCTTCTGTTGACGAAATATTAGGTTGTTCTGTTCCTGAATCTGTTGGGCTCGGTATACGGGTGCTAGAATCAATGGAAGAAGTAACACTTTCATGTCCAGAACTACAACCACTAGAATCTATGGCAGAATTTCTATCGGGGATCTTTCGTAGAAGAAGTTGTTCATCTGGAGGTGGAGGATTTATTAAGTCGTCTTTGTCCTGAGGCTTCCGAGGAATCCAATCCATTTCCGTAGCTATTACGGGTGCTAAACCGGGAGGAAGCTTCACTTCCACATCACGCATCTTCTGACAACATATATAGAATCTACATAAAATAAAATAAAATAAGTTAGCTTAAAATTTAAATTAAACATCTAAATATTTAAACAAGAAATTTACCTTTTTGCCATGTAGAAGCAAGCTAACAAAAGAACTACACAAATGGGTGCCAGTACATAAGCGACAATGTCTGGAGGCGATTGACAATAAGATTCAAACTCTTCACTCCAGGGACCATCATATCTCAAGTCATTTATTATATTTACAGCTCGAACAGAAATGTAAAAAGTGTTGTACCTTCCTCCATCTCCACAATTCTTAATAGTGTAATTATTTCCTGTAACAAGAACTTTTAAAAAGTGCTTCGATTACAACACAAAAACAATTTCTATACCTCTAACAACAATAACAGGTAATGTGTTATTGCCATATTCCAATTTTGTTTTCAATTGCACTTCATACTGATCATTTTCTCCACGTTTAAACTCAGGTTCAGACCAAGCCACAACGATAGTAGAATCATTTGAATATTGTATATATGGTTTTGTAGTTTTACCAGGATCTAAATGATAATTTTTTATTAACATTAAATATGTGCCATGTAAAACAAAAATTAGTTTACTTACACCCTACTGCTGTTCTAATCCTTTTTGTAGGAGACGGCGAAGAACAAGCTACAGTACAAGCAGCCACACTTACACTGTAATATTCATAACTTCTCAAGTTACTTAAAACGTACTAAAAAAAAAACACCCATTTAAAAAAGAATGTCTTTGTTAAAAATTACATAATAAGTGTAGTTTACTCACCCTTCCCTCTTGTTTAGGATCTACGATGGCAGACTCATTATTGTAATTTAAAATATAGTATTTTAAAATACCATTAACTTCAGCAGGTCGCTGCCACGATAATGTAATTGATGAGTTTGTGACATCGTGTATTTTAAGATTTCTTGGCGAATCAGGTGCTAAAACAAAAATTTTATTGTAGTGCAAATTTAATAATATACTTTTAAAAAATTGTTACCGCCTTCTAGAGTTGTGTTGAGTAAAGCATCACTGGGAGGATTTAAGTTATTAGGTTTAGTTATAACTGAAACCGTCAACATGTACGTTGTGTACGGTTTTAGGCCAGTAACAGAACCCTTTATTAAATCCGCATTACCATGGACTGTTACATTTTTTACGGAACCTGCAACGCTTCGTTTTTTTAGGGGGACAGCAACAAAACATACAACGTTATAATTTTGACAATAAATAAAAAATTCTTTTTATCATTCATTCGCATAAATTATAAAAAAATCGGCATAATAATTACAGCGACAAATTTAAATTAATTGTTTCGTTAACTTGTTTGATGCATCTTAGTTGTTTTAAAAATAAATAAGAACAATCAAAAGAAAAATAAATCACAGTCAAATGTTTTACTTACCATTACATTTCCTTTCTGTGGGAGATAAAATTGGACAGTAATTGATGACAAATCCTTCAACACTACCAATTCTATCTGAACAATCCAATTTCCAACCCACTTCAATGAAGTTAGAACCAACATTGTTAATCCATACGTTTTTCATTTTGCCAATTGATTTGTTAGGTATCACTGTGCAAGCAGCCCATGTCATGCCACTACTGGATGACAATGTATTTGCTGCTATTGCAAACTGATGTATTTTAGGCCGTATTTGATTATCAGGCACTGTTAAATTTTTTACTGTAATTTCAGCAGGAACCACCGTCCAATTTAAGTAACCCTACCAGAAAAAATTTAAATGACCAAAAAGATAAATAAGGGATAGTAACCAATACATTACAATAATCACAACAAAAACATTTAAACTGATAATTATTAAAAAAACTCACTGAACACTGGTATGGACGATCCCTATCATGTGCGCACCAAAATATCGTATAGTTAACAATAGGTTCTGAAGTCTTAGGATGTTCCCACGAAAGTTGGTATTTACCGTCTCCATAAGCAATTTTAGTAAAAGCTGATGGTTCTTTAATTTCTGTAAACATATCAGAATAATTGTATACAAACCTTTCATATTAAGAATACAACATACTTTTGGCTGGAATATTAATAACAGAGAAGTTTTCTGATTTGCCAATATCATTTTTGGACCAAATCAAAAACTTGTATCCTTTGGATGAATCAAGACCTTGAAATCTAGCATAAGCGTTCTTCTGTTCTACCAAATGTAAATCTCCAGGACTAGAATTAGAAATTAAAAAATACAAATGCAAATACACACATAAAACATCCAACAATCTACATACTGATTAACACTTTTCACTTCGTAAGTAAATCCTTCACCATTTTGAATCTCGTTCGGAATTTCCTGCCAATACAAATAAACATCTCTACCGGTGGATGAATCAAATTCAAAAGTTCCCAATGTAGTTTTAGGAGGAGCACCAGGTTCTATAAAAATAATTTGTGTAAAACCCTATTATCTCTTCAAAAATTACCATGAAGGAAATACCTTTACTCGCAGTTCTTTCAGTGAGGGATGTGTTTTTAGACCACATAGATTCATCATCAGGTAATGCAGCAGTAGTTCGAGATGATACTCGTATGTCATACAATTTATGAGCATATTTTAATCCAGTTAAATTAAAATATATTTCCTTCAATTCCTTCGATATTACCATACCTCCAAACTTGAAAAAAAGCAAGAGTTATTGTTATTCAAACGGTTTTAAAAAATTGAACAGAACTTACCTCCCATCCTTTGGGGTTCACTTCTGACTGGTATAAAACTCTGTGTTGCAATCCTGGTGGAAAAGTTAACATTGCAGTTGGAACAGACCAGCGCAAATAAATTGACTCTGTTGTTTTACTTTCGGCAGTTAAATTTTCTGGAGGTCCAGAAAGTACTGTAAAGAATTTCAACTGAACTAAACAATTCAAATTACTATAAAAATTTCAATTAAATATCGTTACTTCATCGATTGTGTGTAACACTTGTTCCGCCACTGTTCACAAACAAGTTTTTATTTTAACTTCTGAAGAAGCTCCAGCATGGTCAAAGGTTTATTAAGTAATAAAATGGTAAAATTTATGTATTGCTCTTTTCATTTGGCTCAAAACAAAATAAACTGGCTTCCAACAGAAAATTTCATCAAGCAAAATTAGATAACGTTAATTACAAATATAAATTATTAAAAGCATATACTTATATCTTCATTCTATTTTACCACACATTGTAATTTGAATCGAAGTCAAACTATTATTTACTATTGCAGAAAGACTTGTTTTAATAACAAACCTGCGTAAGTGTAAATATTTATGCTAGTACTATATGTTCTGTTGTTGTCAATTTTTATATTTTTACATTAGTCACATATATTCAAACTGAGCAGGTTGAAATAGTAAATACATACCATGTGCATAGTGAGAGAATGTTCTATTTAATTGATTAACTCCAAACTTATTAGTCATTGTTAATATAAAATGATAAGTGCGTTGTGCCTGCCTATAAAAGGGAAGAGTATAAATATTCCAAAAACAGCTCATTTTATGAGTTTCGGGGTCTTCTACCAAATCTGGACAAGAATATGTGCTTTCCCTAAAACAAATACCATTATGTTTAACAGTTTTAATTGATTATTTGTCCACTTTTTCTCTCTTACCTGCTTGCTCGTCCTGGAAAATAATATGTTAGACTATAATTTGTTTTTATGTAATTATCAGGTTGACTCCAAGAACATGTAAGATTTTCGTAATTATATCCAACACATTCAAAATCATCAACCATCTGTGGTTTTACTAAAAGGGTAATAAAAAATCAAATGTTACTTTTAATTCGAATAATGTGATTGAAAAGGCACTTACCACCAACAATTACAGTATTTAAACATACAGCAAGGTTATCGTTTCTTAATTTACATGTATACATTGAATTATTTGTTTTATCAGGTTTATCAATATGCAATCTTATGCTTTTTGAGTCTAATAAAGTAATCTGAAAATACATATAATTAGGTAAATGTCAGCCATTCATATTTAAAAATTTTGCAATTCTTCATTCTTATTTCATAGGTTCTTTAACAGCCCAATGAAGCAAAACACTACCCACATTAACTAAAGCCCTAGTTCCTTGATAGTAAATAAATTAGGTATATTAGCTGTGTTTCCCTCCTTTAAATTTAGTTTAAATTTTACTTTGAATAAACAAACCATTTCTGCAGGTAGATCTTCACCATCACGAGTGAAATATAAATTACTACTGGAATTTATACCATGTTTTTCAACATAATCATCATTTAGGATACATGTAATGTCCAAAGGATTACCATATTCTACATTAATATCACCACGAGGTAGTGTATCTACAAGGTAGGACATACATATAAATTATAAAAAACAAGATACTTGAAAATACATACAACCAGGTGTATCTAATCCAAGCTGACATACATCACATCTTATAAAATTAAAGAGAAAAATAAATATGATACACAATTGTAATAGAGTATTTTTCAATTTCAAATGTACAGCAGTTACCATTGTAAATACCATGTGCTAGAATATAAAGGTAAGTTTAATGAGCTTGCACATTTTTAAATAAAAAAAGCAAGCCTTACTTGAACAGCATGGATTTATGTATGATTTCGTACACCAACTGTACTATTTATTTTCCAACCTTTCATTTGAAATTTTGACTAGAACTTCAAAAGCAATATTTGTACTCAAAATCCTGCAAATGTAAAAGAGTAAAATTACAACTTAAAACCAATAACTATGCTTCCCAATTCAGCGAAGATTTTAAAAATGGGATCAACAACTGGTCATTATTCAAATAACCCTACTGGTTACCTCTTTTGAATACACAACACAAAATTGAGGTAAAAACAGTAAATACAACTATAACGAAAATCTCTTATAACAAAATGTAAAATTCTTTATCTTTACAGAAATACTGCAGAATTAATTATAAACAGTACTTCAATGAATGTCAATACACTTGTATTAAAAAAAATAACAAGTGCTAACCTAGTAAAGAAGTAACTGACATTAACTTTAATTTAAATCCAATTTTCAGTCTAATTTTTAATTTAATTTTTCATGTTAGCGAAAATATATGGTATTAAGACGTACAAGAAACTTTTAAAATACATACATTTATTAAGCGATGAGCTATTCGTGAGAATAGCAATACTTGGAACTCTAAAAACGTAGCACTAATACCCGTCACTCAATAACCCACAAATTTAACACAATTTAAATGTACATTCACATAAATATGGATTCACTTTGATTTTAATCAATCAGAAAACCTTTATTTACTATAATTTGAACGTTAGTTGTTATTAATTCGATTTAATTATGAACTAAACAGCAACAAATACTAGCAACGTTGCGCAACTTGAGTACTACGAATTTCACTTACAAACCGACCACCGTTGCCAAATGTAGCGGCCTTTGAAATTTTTATGTATGATGATGGTACGTATTTGTTCTTGAGGTCATATATTGTGATTGTACGTTATATGATAGTAAAAACTTTTCACTGAAATTTTTAATTTGTTGCTTTTATTTACTAAGTATCAGAAATTTTCCAAGTAACAATTGTTTCAATGCTAATTCTTGCAATCGGTCAATTTGCCTAACTTGACTTAAGAAAATAATTTAAAAATAGTTTGGGTTTTCTATTTATATAATTATTTGTTTATCAAACGGTTATTATATATTCTTAAATATGTTAAAGTCCCCATCAAATATACGTTAAAAATACACACAAAATTTATTTCCTACACATTTTTCATCTGTATATAGTACATATATTATATACAGAGTGTTGTTAAGTAAATTTCTCCTGAAATTTTCAAAAGTATCTTTTGAAAGTAGTAATGATTATAATTTCATTTAGACAATATAACAACTTTACGATTATTGTTTCGAATGCAAGCCTTTTATTTTTCAGAATCGGTAACGCTCATAACGTTAACTAAATTTTATCAATAAGGTCAGTGCAGGTCACAACCATTCATTTATTCTTATAAATTATCAATTTTTATGGTTCAAATGATTTTCCGGTCTCATAAGCGTCAATAAAGTAGATTTGCCTTTTAGAAAATATGCGGTAAATTATTTCGATGCAAATAGTTTAATCACTAAAGATATGAAATACAATCGTCCACTTGCCTTTTTCGTTAAAAACTTATTTCAATTCAACAGATAGCTGCACTGACCATATACCATTCTCAGTTAATTTCCAATATTAAAATAGAGTAAATCAAAATTAATAGTTATCTATAAAGAGAAGGACATATCTAATTTTTATGCATAGGAGAAAATTGATTTCGTTTTTCGACAAATTTGATATTTACAAACTTATCGCATTTCGACGTTAGTAAACACCACAAAAAGTTTTTAGTTTATAGTAAAGAGCACGTGTAATTTTCGAAATGTTTTCAAATACTCCATTATTTATTAAACTGGAAATTATATATTGCTCGATTTACAGCAATTCACTATTAAATAAAAAAATGCTTTCTAAGAATTTATTTACATATAACATATTAAGTTTTTGTAAATTTAAAAAGAGCGCTTTTATTAATAAAGTTAAGTTAATACCGCAACCACCATAACACGCGAGTAGTGTGGGTGCACGAACTTTTTTAAACATAAAGCGCACAATATACAGGGTGAACTATTAAAATAAATGTTTAAAAATTGTCTATTATAAAGATAAAACAAATTTTATAGAAACTTTTTATATAAAAATTTGATACGTTAATGAAGTTTTATATCAGCAAGTGTTATATATAAGAACTTACAAGACGCGCTCTTTTTAGCATTAAACATTTTTAACACGTACCGACAAATTACTCAAGACCAGACAATTCTTATTAAAAAATTAAATACTCGCTTGAGAAAAATAAAAACTTTATTAAAAAAAAGTGACAGAACTACATAAAAAATGAAAAATCAACACTGCACCTCAGTTTTTAAATATCAGACAAAATAATAGAAAAATAAAAAGTAAAGTGATATTAACATAATATTAGAGAGAAATACCCATTATGTTTTTTACAGTTAAGTCACTTATTAAAACTATATTCTCTATGTAAATATAAAGTTACTACGATTATAATAATCCAGTAGAAATTTTTCTGCAGTTCTCAAAAAACAACAAATAGTAACTGTTTTGTCTACATATAGATACGCCTTAAATTCGCCGGTGATGTTATCATGTTACATTGAGGGCAAAGCTTTTTAGTACCTAATGTCTGTAACCAGCACTGTTCACAATGTACATGCCAGCAGCAAACTGAAATAACGGGGGTTCGGTAACGTTCCATACAAATAAGACATTTGTAAACTTCATCTTTTCCATAATCTCTGCTCTCTAATTCCTTTATTCTATTTTTCAAAGCTTCTAAAACAGGATCGCCACTTACACTAACACTATTCTCACTTAAGACTTCTCTATCAGAGTTTTTCTTTTCTTTATCAGTCCCTACTACTGCTTTCCTTAAAGCATCTTGTTCCTCATCATCTGGAACAATCACATCTCTTTCTGTATATTGAGGTGTCCCAAATTCTTCAGAATCATCACCGTCTACAACTAAATCTTCATCATCATCTGCCATATTAAGAGAAGTACCAATTGTGGATACCCCTCCTTCTAAAAGAGATGTAGCTCGCACCCGAGACTGCCCTGCCCATTCATATTCTTCATACCCTTCCACATCAATATTTTCATCACTGTCAGCTGAATTGTCTGCACGTCTTAAACACCTATCAACATGTAATGAAATATCCTCCTCAGTCTCTTTATTACACACAGGACAAGTTACCCCTGCAAAAAATAAACTGCATTACCTTGCAACTCTACTCATTTGTCCAGTAGACTAAAATCTACTGAATTAATTACCTTGTACTTTTCTCCTGGGTGATTTAACCCTCTGCCTGTTTTGTCTGTTAGCACGAACCTTCTGGTATGTGTCCCAGAACTTATCTTTTCTTCCATTTTCTTTTCCATTATGGCTAGAAGGAGTAGCAGAACTCCTCAAGAACTTATGTTTAGCTGTTGATACTTTGTACAATTTGTCTATTTCAGATGCAAGATGCAAATCAATCTCAGAATTTCTTATTGTAAGGCTACATACTGGACAACAGGTGGGATCCATTTGTTTTCTTTTATTTCTAACACTACGGTTTGTCTCTTCTCCATTACTGTTGAAGTTTACAACTTCATTACTATCACTTGTACTCATAATAACATTCAAGTATTTAAAACTTAAATCATATACTTCACGAGGACCTCTTATATTAGAAATTGCTACCATCATACATTATGATGTCTACAATTCTGGTGGATATTTGTGTATGAACTTAAAACTGGGATGTACTAGTAACTGAAGTGCATAGCTCATTACTAAGCAGTGATCATACCACATATAGAGGGAAATACTTCTTCTCTATTTGAGCAATATTTTTGTCTTTTTAAGAACAATTAAAAAACACACAACACAAAACAAACATTCTGTATAACCAAATTTAAATACAAATATCCACAACTATCAAAACTGCCATATTTACATCACAGAATGCGAATACAATAGATAATACACCATACCAGAGAAGAGAGACGTATATACCATTTAACCATAGACTACAAAGACGTAAATGTAAAGAGAAAAATGAATACAGAAAAATATGGCTATGTGATGTGAAGTGTCAGGTTTTGTGAGATGTGGAAAAGTGTATCGTACAATTTATAAGATATATAATAAATATTTAGTAATGTCTTTCTTTTGAAAATAGTTCATTCAGCAGAATATTAAACTACAGTTGTGTTAAATTTATAATAATTTGTTATGATACTAGTGTACAGTTAACGTAAATCGTTTGTGACTGTTTATTTTATGTGGTTCAATCTTGTGTAAAGTTTTGGTTTTGTGATTTTTTAAACATTCGTATGAAAAAATCATTGTAAAATGTTTTCAAAGTCAACTTTTGGTACAACACCTTCATCCACATCATTTGGTAAGTGTCTCTACTATGATAAAACTTGTTACTTTCATAAAAAACCTTAAAAAGTAAGACCTACAAGAACGTTCAAATATTTTAGGATTTGGTTCTACTAACACAAATCAAAATCTTTTTGGACAATCCTCATCATTATTTGGAAAACCAGCAACTGCAGGATTTGGGAGTTCAAATACTACTTTTGGAAACCCAGCCCCTATTTTTGGTTCTTCGACCCCTCTATTTCCCAGTAATACCTCTGGAACATTTGGTGCTAATCAAAATCAGCCAGCCTTCGGTAATTAATTAATTTACTTTAATTTATTATAATTTCAATTTATTTTTTAAACCAGGATCAACGTTATTTGGAAACCAGCAAAATGCTAATACAGGTAATTTATTTGGAAGCAACTCCTCCACATTTGGCCAACAAAATAAGCCCGTTGGCTTTGGTTTTTCTTCTACAGCTCCCACTAATCGGCTCTTTAGTCAGACAACAGCCCCACAAACACCATTTCAGTCGACATCTTCAACTAGTTTATTTGGTCAGTCAACTGGATTTGGCAATACTCAAACTGGTACTGTTATCAAATTCAATCCAGTTACTGGCACAGACACCATGCAAAAGAGTGGAGTAGCAACTAACATTAATACAAAGCATCATTGTATAACATGTATGAAGGAATATGAAGGGAAATCCCTTGAAGAACTTAGATGGGAAGATTATCAAGCAAATAGAAAAGGACCACAACAACAAGGGGGCTTTGGTGTGGCTCCTTTTGGAATGACGCCAACATCTTCAGCACAATCTCTTTTTGGACAGTCAACTGATAATAAAACCACTTTTGGCCAAATGGGAACATTTAATCAAAGTTCAGGATTTGGTCTTGGCACACAAACTGGTCAAACAGGAAGCTTATTTGGTAAACCAAATACCACATTTGGAACTACTACAACATCTAGCAGTTTTGGGTTTAATAATACACCAGCCTCAAACCCATTCTCAACAAACCCTTCCCAGGCCTTCCCTCAATCAAAACCATTATTTGGAGCCACAAATACCCAAACATCTGGATTTGGGGGTACGGGAATTTTCGGACAATCTGGCACACAGGTAATTGTCACATTTTTGTGTATCATAAATTAATATTTAATATCTTGTTTATTCTGCAGCCAACACAGTCAAATATGTTTGGTCAAAACCAAACCAGTGGCTTTGGCCTAAATACTGGCTTTGGTCAGATGCAACAAAATCAAGGAGGTATTTTTCAAACATCTAAACCAGCCACATCTTTTGGACCGTTTTCTCAAACTATTACTAGTGCTCCATCATTTGGACAACCCACGGGCACATTTGGCCAAAGCAATGCTTTTAACACATTTGGAAAGCCTGCCCAATCAACTTTTGGAAATCCTCAGGGTAGTTTTGGAACTTCTCTTGGTATTTTAATGTCATATTCTTTTTTTGTTTTATTGAAAAATTGTCATCTTGATAGGTACTCAATCTAATGGAGGCTTATTTGGAAACTTACAACAAAAATCAGGTGGATTTTTTGGTAATACAAATCCCACAAGTATCTTCTCAGGGGGAACAACTTTCCAGCCAAATACTGGTTTTAATTTACAGCAAATGCAGTCACAGTTAAATACATTGTGAGGAAAATTTTTAAATTATTTCTTTATTTGTTAATTTAATCTTTCTATTGATAGGCAACCAACATCTGAACAGTCAGAAGAGCTAAAAGCACAATTGCAGAATGCTGGCACTTTTGGTAGGAGTAAAATCCTGTCAGGTTTGACTCCTTTAAAAGAAGATGATAATAAACGAACCACTAATCCGAGAGAATTGAAGGTAATTCTGGATAGTTCTCTAAAAGTAAAGTTGCCATCACCCATTAAAAACAAGCCCAACATGGCTCCAGTAAATAATTCAAGGGTAATTATGGTTTATTTCTTTCATAATTTATGAGTATAGATAACTAAAAAATCATCAGTATGGTAATAATTTTTTTCGTCTCAGATGGATGTTTTTGACGGTGCTATGGGTAAAACTAAGTTTGACTCCAAAGATTACATTAAAATGACGCGTAAAAGATTGATCATTCGTAAAAAAGGTGACACAGAGATGCACTCAAATTCATCCACTGAAATTAGTTTATTTGATTTTGAAGGAGATGAAGTAACAGATAATAATTTCACAAGAAAATTACAAACAAATAAGGAAACATTGGAATTAAATGCTAACGCTAGTAATAATCGAATATCGGTAAAACCTGCTCTAAAAAGTAGCGGTGAGAACCTTAATAGTTCAGTAGATGTACTTTGGCTTAAGTCTAATAATATCTTGAATGATGCTAATAGTTCATCTGCTAAAAATAAGTATGAAGGAGGTATCATAAATGACGATACTAGTGGTAATGATAAAAGGCTTGAAGCAGATAAAGAAAATTTTAAAGAAGCAGAACATGCGTCTAAACATCCATGTGGAATTACCTTAACACGCCCTGAATATTATACATACCCATCTTTGGATCAGCTAACGCAATACCTAAGAGATGATGGAACTTGTATTGTGCAAGGATTTACCATAGGACGGGTTGGTTACGGGAATGTTTATTATCCAGATGCATTCGATGTAGCCAACTTGAATCTAGATAAAATAATTTTCTTCCGCTTGGGGGAAATCATCGTGTATCCCGATGAATCTGCGACACCACCTGTTGGCCAAGGTCTAAACAGACGAGCTCAAGTAACTTTAGATAAAGTATGGCCCAAAACGAAGGATGGTAGCATCATTTTGACTGATATAAAAGAGATAAATGCCATTAATTTTGTTGACAAATTACAACAAATTTGTAAAAAGCGAAATTCAAAATTCATGGAGTATCGACCAGAAACAGGTTCTTGGGTTTTTCAAGTTGAGCATTTTTCTAAGCATGGTTTAAGTGATAGCGATGAAGAGGAAGTATCAGAAAAAGTACGAAAACTACGTGATAAAACTGTCACTGAAGAGCATAAAACTACTGATAAAGAAGTAAATGAAAAACAAAAAGGAAAACATTCACCACTGGTATACATCAAACTCATAATAACATGATAAAAATGTGTAAAATGTTTTTTCATTTTTAGGAAACAACTGTTGGCAAACCAAAAGAAGTTGTTCAAGTTCATGATAAATCATTACCATCAAACGTATCCGATCCTGTGGACGTATTTCAAATGTCTGAGCCGGTTGTAGGTCTTGGTGGTTTCCAATTAGGTCTTCCCAAGTCAAATGCTTCAGTTTCTAGCGATGATATATCTCCTCTGGATAAAAATGAAACTTTTCCTTCATTAAGATCTTCCAGACATTACATTTACAAGGAAGTAGAACCAGCTCAGTTGGCCTTGATGAAGACTTCTTTTTTCGACGAAAGACTTCATGATATTATCGAGAATGATTCTGACGAAAATAATTCTGATTTAATTAAAATGTCGTTAAACGCCGTCACTGATTTTCAACCAGAACCGAAATTAGTTTCAGTTGAGAAAAGAGTAAAACAGACATCTCTCCTTCCAAGGTCTTTTGAACTTCGTAATCGGAAGTGCATTGTCTCCAATGAAAATAGTATCTTACATAATCGCAGGAATTACAAGGATATGTCCGTTTTCTTAGGACGTTCATTTAGAGTAGGATGGAGTGTTGGTAATATATTCACGAATACATCTTCTTCTCCTACTTGTACCCATAATGTTCAATTTTGTAATCTATCTTCCTTTATTGAAAACGATAATAATCCGTTTTATGTGAGTTTATTGTCGATATTCTTTGCATTATTTAGTAACGTATTTATTTCTTATAGCGCACGTTATTAAATCATCTTCATATTACTAAAGAAAATTCCAAACTAAGTGTAAACCATTTGGGAGTCCCAATGTTTAAGGTGAACTCAGGTTTTAATATTCTTTGTGAGCATCAGGAGTTGGTCAGCTCAAATCTAAAAGAAAACGATTTCAACAGCATGAGTTTTTATTACAGTTGCATTTGGGACCTAATAATAGCTTTGTGGATGCCCCAAGGTAATTTAACAAGACGGGACATCTTTAGCAACTGGTACAAAAATCTACTTGTTAATAAAAATGGCATGCAATTTAATACAAGGCAATGTTTTAGGTTGAAAAGAGCAGTTATGTTTGATGTTGAAAAAGAACTTTGTTCTCAAATAGAAATAGATACTGGAATGAACAATGTGTTTAATAAGATTTTTACATTTCTAACTGGCCATAGGATAGACGAAGCTGCAAAATTAGCATTAAAAAATAATTTACCTCAACTTAGCTTGCAAATTTCTCAGTTAAATTCTGTTCGTATTGTAAAAAGTTTTTCTGAAAAACAGTTTTTCCAATGGAATACTTCAGGAGCAGTTAAGCATATTAATGAAGACCTATTGAAGACTTATATGCTTATTACTGGAATTTCTGTACATCAAGAAATTAATATTAGTGAAAGTTTAGATTGGAAGAGGGCTTTAGGTCTTCACTTATGGTACATAATACCAGTTGAACAGCCTATATCTGCTGTTTTAAAGGCTTATAAAAAGGCATTCAGCGAACTATGTTACTCAAGAAAGCCTTTTCCTTGTCATGGTGATAATGTCAACTACAATACTACTGACAAGTATGACATTTTGTATCATATAATTTCTCTTTTTGTGTACCCTTATGAAGGTTTGCATCATATTTTGGAGCCTATAACTTACACTAACAATCCCCTAGATTATAGCCTCAGGTATGTTGTTTTTCGAAATGATGTTTGTACATTTGACAATATTAAAAAATTTTAGTTGGTTCCTTATGAATACATTCGAGGCTTTGGACATAGGGAAAATAACACAGGATACTAAAAATTATGTTCATATAAGTTTCTCCAATCAATTAGAAAGTATGGGCTATTGGCAGTGGGCAATTTTTGTATTACTCTTCTTAAAAGATGAAAACATAAGACAGAATTTGATAATTAAAATACTGGAACGGCACTTGACCTCTGATTTAACCGAAGAAACTCTAGAAATGGAAGAATTCTTGGTGAATGAATTCAGTATTCCTTCTGATTGGATACATAGAACAAAAGGCAGAAGAGCTAAATTTGAAAACAAAAACTGGGAAGCTTACAAACACATGATTTTGTCTAAACAGTGGATGAGTGGCCATGATTTTGCTTTCTCCAAACTTATTCCTGATTTAATGACGCACAACGACCTTTATTTATTAGAAAAAGTTTTAGAAATCTTATTACCAGGACATAAAACAATTATGGAGTGGAAAGTAAAGGGGGGACTTTTATTGGACTTCCTAAACATATGGAAATTAATAAACAACAAGCAGAAAGGCGAAATTGAGGAATCATCTTTAAGAGCAATTGAAATTGATCTTTTGGATCTATTAGCGAGACTTAAAAAGTTCCCTATAACAACCAATAAAAAAGCATTAAGTATCTCGGAATGTTCTAAGTGTATTGCATTTTTACTGAAGAAATTTTATTTAGAATTACAGAATAAGTCTTATGCTAATATTTGCAAAACTTCTTCTTATATCGAGTCTCTCGTAATAGCTCCAGATTATAAACAAGATGAACTTATTAAATCTCTATTTAATATGGTAAATATTCAAATGATTAATTAGCCACTGCATCTAATTCTAAGTAAATATTTTATCAGTAAGTATTCGGTTGTCTGTAATAAATTCATTGTATTTTTTTATGAGCATTTAGCCGCCAGACTTGTTTAATACTTGATTGCTTTGCTAAGATTGTCACGAACTTGGATTGTAAGTGAAAAAGTATCGAAAAATGTTTTAACATTGTATTGATTATAATAAAAAATGAAAATCGCCACTGAGTTTTTTTATTTAAAAAATACATACTATTTTTTAATTTAATAAATATAAGGAAAATCCCTAACACCACAAAAATGCCATGGTAAAATATGTACTATTAAAAAATTAGCAGCTCGTTAAAAGAACACTTTGAATGTTAAACATTTACGACAACCTGTGGACAATTAGGAATATTACATAGAATATCAAATGAACATCTGGAATGCTCCGTGGTATCACAATCTCCAAAAACTGGCTGATTACATAATCGACACTCCTGTAAAAGCAAAAATATAAAATTGGTATACAAATAAACGATAAAAAAAAGCGTTTTCTATTTCCATAATTTGCTAATTAAAGCAGTAGAATTAGTACAATCTGGCAGATTTAAGTCTCAAAAAAAATTATGTTTCATTACCTTTGCGCATTTTGTTCCACGTAAAGGTAAACCAATTTCTGTCCACACTTCTAACATATCTTTAACTAATGTATCCATTAGATCAGTGGTATGGAAAGGTGTTGGAGCTAATCGTAACTTTTCTTCTCCCCTGGCAACAGTTGGATAATTAATAGCCTGTATGTAATGTCCTTTTTCTTTAAGTAAACGATCAGATACTAAATTACACTGAAAAGGATCTCCGACTTTAACGGGAATAATGTGGCTTGGAGTGTTTTCAACAGGAAATCCATGTTCTAGTAAAGTTTTGCGCAAATAGGCAACATTTCCTTGGTGCTTTTGTCGTAAAACTCTACCCTCATCCGACGATAAAATCTCGATTGCTTTCAAACTTCCCAAAAGTACAGTTGGAGGCAGTGAAGTTGTAAAAATAAAACCAGCAGCATATGAACGAACCATATCTATAAGCGTAGTGTTTCCGGCTAAAATAAAGATATTTATTTTATTGAATACAAACTGCAAAATTTTTAAATGGTCAGCAAACTTAATTAAATCTTTATACAGCTTTCTGCTATCGGTTTTTTTTAACATTATGGCACAAAATTATGTATAAGTAGTATTTGGATTATACATTGGCAGTAAGTAGCTAGAAGCTGTAAGATATAGAGTCAAATTTGCTTACAAACAAATCCTGAAATTTGAATATTATTTCGTATTTCATATGACGACTCCGTTACAGATATTACCTGAATACTTTCTTTTCTTTTGCAGGACTATAACCGAACCATAGTCCAGCAAGTACCTTCTTCCGATAAAACCGTCAATTTATAATTCAAATACTATGCATAAATCAATTTTACCGCTTACCAATATAGCCCCCAATATTTCCAAAAGCCTTTCCCAGAGTCCCTGATATTATATCCATCTTATGAAGTTGATTATCACGTTCTCCAATCCCAGCCCCATGATCGCCATAAAGGCCAACAGCATGTACTTCGTCAACAAATGTTAAAGCGCCATATTTTCGAGCTACATCGCATAATTCCTAGAAAGTACTAATTTACAGATAAAGAAACAAAAAGATGTATTTTTTTAATTACTTTAATTTACACAAATTTTGACCCTGGAAACAATCAATCAACGTCATTCATAATATAGATAAGTCAATGGGTTTTTTTTAGAGCATTCATTAACAAATTAATGAGCGAGTTTGAGAAACATAAAGCATTATTGTATGTTAATAAACTGGTTTAAAATGCGTTTCCTTTTCTGACTTTATAAATAATGTATATTTTCTACATTTTTAGACATCATTAAGGAAAAAAAATAATCTAATCAGAAATCGTATTTTAATTAACTTACATCTAATGGGCACACGGCGCCGCTCATTGAATGAACTGTTTCAAAAACAACAATTTTTGGAACTTTTTTATCCACACTTTGTAACAACTCTTCTAAATGCTGTGGGTTGTTATGGCGAAAAATATGCTTTGGTACTTTACTATTCCTTATTCCCTGTATCATAGAGGCATGATTTCCCTCATCAGAAAAAATGTGACACCCTTAAATACTTCAATTAATTCTACAAATAATTAAACTATCAGATATTTAATACCTGGCAGTGATTTAGCTAATGTGTATAAAGTAGAATCATTAGCTACAAAACATGAAGTAAAGAGAAGGGCAGCTTCTTTTTGATGTAGTTTTGCCAAGTTTGATTCCAACTTCTCATGAAAAACGGAATTACCAGATATATTCCTGGTTCCCCCTGCTCCAACACCATAATTTTCTACAGCATTACTTGAAATATTAATTAAACATTAGTATTAATACAAAAAATATTATAATAAGAAAATAAATCTTACCACACTGCCTTTTTAACTTCTGGATGACAAGACATCCCCAAATAATCATTGGAACACCACACTGTTATGTTCTTTTCTCCCCATGAATATTCTCTGGCTCTTGGAAACTGTCCTGGCCCAGCTAAACGGTTTACTTTTTTAAAAATTCTATATGAATGATCTCTTTTCTTTTTCATTATTTGGTCATGGAAAAAGTTTTCATATGGAAATATATCTAGAAATTATGTAAAGAAGGGTTGAAGGTAATTCCACCTTAATTTTTTAATAATACTTACACTTCTTTTGATCACCAATATCAATTGTATCATCTTCAGTTACTTCTTTAATCATTAACTTGTCAAGTTCTGATAAAAATGGGCATTTGGAATTTTTTTTGACTTCACTTTCTACAACAAAATATAATTAACTATAACAAATACATATTTCAGTAAAAGCTTTAAATGAAAACATATTTCCTTTACAAACCTTTTCTATTT